ACAGTTCCGGAGGAAGGGAGATTTTCAGTTACCATCAATAATTATGAGATGATCCCGAAGGATACCGTGTTTTATGTACCTGGAATGATGAATTGTTGATGGTAGTGTTTTATAAAGCGCGGCTAGCTGCGTACTTACTTTCAGTGGCGTACTCAAATTTAACATTTTTAAAAAATATTAAACTTGTGTTTTAAACAATATTAAATGGAACAAATCGTCATGATAAACCAAGTAGTGTTCATTACAACCATGTTAGAGCAAGCGGTATCGATTTTGTGTTGGTCTTTTTCCATATACATATTTTATTCATTTGTTTATTTATTTATATAGTATTTGCTACATGATTATGAGACCGAACAAAAGAAATGTAAAAATACAAAGACAAAATTACTGTAACAAACTGTAATTAATGTAACAAACGAAAACAAATCGAATATATGTAACATATTTAATATAAACTGCTCATCAAAATTAGCGTAACCCTATTTAGATTAGCGCCATTTGCGTTCTATTCGAGTTAGAGACTTGCAGTTTTTAATTTTCGGTATCTTATACGGAAAGTTTTAATGCCCTGAAGTCGCTACGCTATGACTTAAACGGTTCTCCGTCCACACCCCAAAAATCAACCCCATGTCGAAATTTGAATTTGCAAGATTTTGACGGCAATTTCAGAGACATACAGGATCGACTAAGAAGGACGCCGTCGGGTAAAAACTCCATCCCGGCACACACTAAGGCCTCCTCAATATGTTCTGTGTATTTGGTGGCTGTCCCATCTCTTCAACCCAGTTCCAGACCCCCTCAGCCACCCCTTTACATATACGCTGGGTTTTGCGTGGTATGACCTCTGTTGGGCGAATCCGTTGATCTTGAATTGATGGAATATCACTGAATTTGGCGCTCGATCGGTTGTTTACAGTGGGTCCTGTCAAATTCAACAGCCTTCAAGTAATGCCATGACATGAATTCGAGACAAATATGCATCCCACGTAGCCTTTTACAGCGGCAGATCCAGGGGGGGGGGGTGAAGTTGGTGTTGGTGTGGATTGGAGGGATGCTTGCATTGTTACAGGGTGAAATCGAGTTGTGGTACCCCAGATCAATTTATTAGGCAGCATTAAGATCAATGGATTCGCCAAATAGAGGTCAAACGACGCAGATCCAGCGTAAATGCAAAGGGGTGGCTTGGGGGTCTGGAAATGGGTTGAGGAGATGGGACAGCGACCCAATACACAGCGCTTATTGAGGAGGTCTTAATGTGTGCCGGGATGGAGTTTTTTACCCGACGGCATCCTTCTTAATACATGTTGATGTCTCTAAAATTGCCGTCAAAATCTTGCGAATTCAAATTTCGACATGGGGTTGCTTTTTGGGGTGTGGACGGCGAACCGTTAAGTCACAGCGTAGCGACTTCAAAGCGTTAAAAGCAACCCTATAAGCCATCGAAAATTAAAAACCGCAAGTCTCTAACTCGAACTGAACGCAAATGGTGATTAATCTAAAAAGTGTTTCGCTAATTTTGACGAGCAGATTATATTTATATTTAGATTTAGAGGTTGACTACAGTAGAAATACAATCGCAATTATGAAATATAAATATACACTCGACAATTTTTTTCAAAGGTGTTTTTGTTACTTACAAATCTTATTTCTAGAGGCAGTAAGTTACAAATCTTTGGTGCAATATACCATAATAAACAAATTTCAGATTACTATTGTCATGATTTATTGGTATCATTAGGTAATTTTTCAATTTATTATTCTTATAATGTTTGTGCTATACATATGTTTTATTAAAATGAAGTGAAGTAGGAGAGATACAATTTTTGTTATTAAATTTTACAGAAGGTATAATAGGTTGTAAATTAACAAATGCTAACGCATAAATAACGCATTTGTTAATTTACAACCTATTGTTGTAAAATTTTCAATAATTGAAAAAAAAATGAAAAAAAAGTTTTTGCATGAATTTTTTCGACCACGGATTATTCATACGACCTTCAGATTTTTTTAAATATCGTTAACATTTTTCAACGTATTGCATTAAAAGTTAGTATACGGGGGTTTTTTGTATAAGAAAACGAACTATTGTTATCGTTTTACTGCCTCTCTGTATTGTACTCTTTACGGATTAAAATGATCATAATTTTTCTTAATGTACTTCTCATTTCCTGCACTTTTCTAAACAAAAAAGGTACACTGACCAAAATCCGCTAAAGTTGGCTGTTTCTGAGGCATTGGGATTTGAATCGATGTAACCTAATTTTTCATTCAGAATTTATTAACAATCTTTTGAATATTAGCATTTGCTAAATTTGTGCAATTTATTGTTATCATAATTTAACATATATTAAAGTTACCGTTTTTTTAAGAACGGAGAAATTTTAAGGTTGATTCACAAAAATTTAGAATTCACAAAACTCTGTTTTGAAAACTTAATTTGGACACCCTGTATCTCGAGAACTAAGCTTTGGTGAACATATGTTTGTACATTAATTTAAAAGTTTTATCAGGTGTTAAAGTCATCTTACAAAACACTGAAACACCATGTATAGGTACTCTAAGTGGTCGAAACAAACTTAATAAAATGTAAAAAAAGTAATGAAAAATCTTGTTAATATTGTTTTCATATCATATCACACTTTGTGTAAATTTTGATGAAAAACCTTTTCTCTCTCTTCAATTTTTCTCTAAAATGAATAGTTCACGAGTTATCTTTAAGAAAAGAAAAACAGGGATATTTTAGGTTTTTTTATACATTTTACTTCATAAAAAATCCAGAGATTTTTCAACCATCACATATAGAAATTATCGTTTCTTATGATATTCCAAAGGCATTCCAATAAAAATTAAAACTATTTTTTTAACTTGTTAGGTACATTATTTTCAGAATTTGAATATCCATGCCCACCATAATTGGACACCCGGTATATTTAAAATATCAATACGGCGGCACAATACAGCGTTATAGTTGGTTTCAAAACCTTTTATTCTAGGCGAATTTCATTTTTAACTGCGGCGGAATTACAGAAATCGTGTGCTTTTGTCTGGAAACTCGTTGCGGTAACAAAGGAATAGTGCAATTTCTACTGAACTGCGGAGCTTAAGACGGTCAGATTACAACTTGTAGAACTAAGTAGGTATATATTTTAAATTATTGAGATAGTAACTCTAAACGAGTTTTCAAACCGAAAGAGAATTTTGAGCCGAAAGAAATTGAATTCTAGGAAGCATCTGAGTAAAATGGCACAGTACTTCCATGATATGTATTCGTCTAGTTCAGCATCCACGTACTAATAGTTCTATCCGTAGTATGAAGTCTTTGTTTCAGAAACCTTACCAAAAAAATAACATTGGGCCAAACATTGGAGTAATTGGATCGTCGGGGTCTTGAGATCATTGGAATCAATATGATCATTGCGGTCATGGAATAATTGGATTCATTGGGCTTATGAAATCATTGAGGTTAATTTATTCGTCATTGGATAATTGGTATTGTGAAATTATTGGGGCTAATGGGGTCATTGTATCACTTGACCATTGAGATCATGGTCATTGGCATCATTGGGTCAATATTAATGGGATCATTGGGTCAATATTAATGGCATCATTGGGGTCAATATTAACGGGATCATTGGGGTCAATGTTATTTATATTATATCGGGGGTTCATGGGCTCATGGGATCATTGGAATACTGGGATCATCAAACTCATTAATAAGATCATAGGGAATACGGAATCGTTGGGGTTAATGGAGTGATTGGATCGTTGAAGTCATTGGACCATTGGGGTCATGGATTCACTGGGGTTATAGGATCATTAGGATCATAGGATAATTGGGGTCATAGGATTATTGTGCTCATAGAATTATTGGGGTTAATAAGGTCATTGGGTCATTGTAATCAATGATCATTGGGGTCATTGGGTCAATCTTAATGAGATCATCGGAGTCAATGAAGTCATTTCGATCATTGAAGTCAATGAGGTTAAGGAAGTCAAGTCATATTGTGACTGTTGTCGGGTACCAAAAGAAAAAATTTAGTTTTGGATGGAATTCCTTTAAAAAAAGTTATTAGGCAACCATATACATTTACCGAATTTAGAAATTTGTATATTACAAAGAATACTGAGAGAATATTTATTACAAATAATTGTGGATCATAAATCATTGCAATTTCCATCTATAGTCCATTATAACATTAATGATAGAGGCAATTCCATTGTCGAAAAATTGTAGTACTACGATATAACAGGTAGGGTTAACTCTACCAAGAGACGAATATGTTCTTGGAAGGTTTAAATAAAAAAATAAATAATGTATATGCAGTTACAGGAAGATCATCCGATTAATTGTAAGAATACTCTAATTTCATTCATAATTATTTAGACGAATAACCAAAGTGTGAATACAACTATTTCATTTTAGAGATTTAGTATAATTAAATGTGGAAAAATTTGATGTAGAAATAGTGATTACTCAGCAAGCGGTTTTATTTCCGTAAAGATTTTTTTTTAAGGTAAACAATAATCAGATTTCCTTTCAGCCATCGTTACGCCACTGGTTGTTACTCTTGATGTCCAATCATACAACCCGGCCTCCGTGAAATAGCTTGAGGTATAAAAAACAGTAACGTAAGCTGTCTAAGTAGGGGAGATCCCCTGTTTTGCTGAATATTAATGTCGTAGAAAAAGCACATACTTAGCCCTCAATCTATCTAATTTACATATCATTTGGCGTATATACGATTTTATGGAAGGAAATGTCGTTTTCTTGTACATGTTATATACGGAAATATGTACATTTTTGTATATAACATATTTCCTGCGAAAACAGAAATGTAAAATAAGAGAATGCCAGACACTGTTTTTACTGTACTGTATAAAAATTAATCTTTGTCTTCGGAACAAAATACTTATTATTGTGTGTTTTCCCACATGCCTATACCGTATTACCATCATTTTAACATATACATAATCTGCTGAGATAGCTCAGTAGATTAGCCGCAGCGATAGCTCAGTGGGTAAAGCGCCAGGTGAGAAGACGGCGATTACTCGGAAAGCTATTATCTGCGCGGGTTCGAATCCCGCGTGCGGCTATTGATACTTGTTACAGGGTTTGGTTGTGTGGCTTATGTCTTTTCCATGTGTATTCCCCCTCTGCACAATCGTAATGACTCTTAGAGGGAGAATGTCAATTTCGGTGGTGTGATTTATTTTTTTAGACAGCCTTTCTGAGGATTTATGTCCGAAAATCGAGCAGGCCATTCTAACTTCTAACCGAATCAACTGATTCATCTCATCGGGAAACACCTCATCAGAAAAAAAACTGACATAAAAGATGTAACGTGGAGCAGCATACTCGTATATCAACAAAATACTAGTATTTGGACCATCTGAATTATCAATATTCAGAAATATGTACGAAAAAGATAAGAGTAAGCCTTACAGTATATTTGAATACTAAAACACTGAAATGCCCGATGAGGTTTACCCATGAGGTTTCATGGGTATATCATAAAGAGAGTTCCCCTTGGATGGCATCAACACCTTTTTTCAAAAGAATTGTATGGTTGAAGTCATAGCTCAGGTGGCTACCTCGAGGATGATGTACAAGGAACCGAATAGGCATAAATGCTGTGACTTTTTCAGTCGCACTTTGTTAGCTCCATATGCATACCAGGTTGAATTGATTGAATCGCATTAAAAGTGCTTTCTTTAACTTACTCAAGAGTGTTTGGCGTGTCCAAATAGGTTTTCCTTTTCATATAAATCCGTAAAACGTAGTCCAAAGGAGTAAACATTTCATTTAAGCAAAATGAAAGCATCCTAAATAAGTGAAAAATGCAACTAAACTACATAAATATTGAATGGTGCAAAATAAATCATAATTGTTATATAGATCAAATTGTTCAATCAAGAAATTTGGCAAAAAATCAAGATATTTAGTAACAAATAAAAAAATTCTCGTGCTGAATGTTTATGTCCATTGTATTTGGTCAATTTAACTTTAAAAATTGTTGTTTTGTATTAAAATGTGTTTTTTATTGGAAATTCCAGTATAACGTCTCAAGTCTCAAGTCAAATATCTCCAAAATAATTCTTTTCGACATGCTACTTTTTTACAGTCCTGTATGAAGAATATGGTCCACTTTTCGAATCCGATGAAAAAAAATAGAGTTGTGTAAAAAAATACCGGTGACGTTATGTCTCAATAATAAAAGACGATTTGGCGATTTGGAAGTGGCATTTGTTTGAAAAATATTTTTGAAAATCAAACTCGACCTTCCGAATATTTACGAATTTAAGTGTTAGACAAATACAAGTCTGTCTGTATCGAATGTTAGCAATTGTGTTCTAATTTCCCAGAAACAAGAGTGGAGTGAGATATATAAAAAAAAGTCAATTAGAACAATAATATTTAAACGACTGGTTGAACTACACGCGAATGGTGACCATCATAATATCATCTTTACCGATGAAAATAATTTTACAATAAAAGGAAAATGTAATAAACAAAATGATCGAGTATATATCCACAGTTCATGAGAAGTGTCCCAAAACTTTCACGAGTCGAAATAGGTCATGAGGTGCATCATATCACAGGGCGTCACAGAACTTAATTTCTGACAAATTCGGCCGCGGTATACTAACACATTTATTGTTACCCAAGACATTTCCAGAACATTTCTGGGTTCCGAAAGCTTGAATTTCCTACCTATGTGATCAACACCCTTGGCATGATATGAAACGTACCGGCATGAGTTTTAGAACTTCTACGGTGACCGGGAAATAAGAAGATGCTGCTTATGCAGGCTGATTCCAGTTAACGTACTGTACTCAGTACAAGGTTTTCTACAGTTTCCCTGTAGATTAGGGCCAATTGCGAGTACTTCTAATGAAAAGTGGGATGCAGCCGGGTGCACATTACGTACATAAACAAAGAAGAATAAAGGAAAAACCCTCAGACAGATTTTGTGTGGATTAGGGATTGCAATCCAGCACCCAATTCAATCTGATCGGATCCGGCCGGATTTCCATTGATCCGGCCGGATCCGGGCGGATCCGGTCGTATTGGTTCCATAAAAACCATTTTGCTTTTTCATTCCAAAATCAACTGTATAAAAGATGATCAAGTGAATGTATTACAGAGTATATACAAAAAAAGTTTATTTCTTATGACATCAACTTTATTTACACTGTTATAGTTAATCAACATGTACGTATTAATCATCAATAAAAATTTCGTAGATATAGTGTAACTAGTTAAATTGTAATTGTTATATTAGTTTGGTAACAATTTGATAATGACGGGCGGTTAAGTTCAGTTTCACTTACTATATTTCACAAATAACATCAGTAATATCTTGTAATATAACTTACATTACATTATAAATCCATAAAAAAAATGGCGTCAAATCTGGAACGTGAGAGATAGAAACGAGAGAGATGGAAATAGCGGTTATGTTGAAGCTCAAAATGAAACTTTGTCTTTTGACAAGTAGCTGTCAGAATTGTAAAATAAATAATGAGTGTCACATAATGTAACAGCCTTGACAATTCAATAAGGTTATAAGATTAAAAATAGAAATACGTCTTTTTTTGCTCGTCCAACTTTGATGACGTTTTTATGTCTCGTTATAAGGAACCTATATTAAATAAACTAAAATCAAGCTTATTAACTGAGATCAATAATTAGGTAATTTAGGCACGCCAGGCAGTTTCATTCTTATAATTATGACCGTCACCAAAAACCAGTTTAATCAATGGCACAATTGTCACAATAATGAGTTCAAAACTTCTTTTTTTAACATACTTACTTTAAATTATTATTTTAAATAAAACAATCATAAAAAAAATCACTTGGTTTTGAAAAAACATCTAGGAATCAAAGGAATTTGTTCCTTCCAATCAATTTTTTAGGGCCAAAAAAAAAAACCGGGGGCCGGGGGGGCCTTTCTCTTCTACTCGTACATAGTCGGTTTTATTGTCAATAAATTTATGTTTTATGTTTTTTTTTATTTACCGGATCCAGCAAATTGGTGCTGGATCCGATAAATGTCTAATGATGCCGGATCTGCCGGATTACCGGATCCGGTTTTCCGGATTGCAAGCCCTAGTGTGGATGCTCAACAAGGACTTGCTTGCTTCGGGGGCAATATGGTTTGGAAAAAATGTGGGCTGAGTGTACTTGTTCGAACTTCAGACGTTATTAACCTATGGTTTCAAATTCAGTGTGCAAAATGCATACTAACACAATAGTCGAGTCACCTGAACGTCATTCAATGTTCTTCGCCCCAAATTTTGGGCCATTTTGAGCCATTTGTTGGCTTTGACTGGTTGGAGTAATTCTAACCCCAGATTTAGATCCAGTGGCCAAAAATACACACCGTTATGAGGATAAAGTCACTTCAACCTCATTCAATGTTCATTGATCCCCGATTTTGGCCAATTTCTGGCCATTTTTTTTACTTTTCCGGCCAATTTTTACCCCGGATTCGGGTTCAGCGGGCGAAAATACATACCGGTATATAGGTGGGTCTCTGAGTTAATGACCTTTTTTTTTGTGTCTGTGTTATTAAAGATGGGCATTTCAGCAAGACTGCACCTTGTTACGGGCTGACTCACGCAAAAACCTCCCTGCGGGAACCATCCAAGTTAGGTAGATAATTCGGGCGACTGTTTGTTTATCGACTTTAAGGTTGAGGTTAAGTCTCCCATCCCCATAGCCCAGACATAATTCTGCATCATGGGGTCCCAAAAAAAAAAAGTATAGTACTTCCAAGCACCAATAACCAGTTGTAAACAACATGCATAACCTGCAGTATTTGGTTCTCCCCCCTGGCAGTGACAGATGACCTGTCACTTGTCACCCTCCTTCAGTTGGCATCCCTGAGACCAGGTGTTGATTTATTATTTCTTAAATCTTTTTGGAATTCTTTACATAAAATATCCCATCCTGGTCTACTTCCTTTTCCTAAATTTATCTCCACCCCTAATCCCAATCACATTATTTTCACCTCTTTTTCTCTTTCTTTCTTCTCCTCTTTTTTCTTCCTCTTTATCTTTCTTTTTATACACTTGGGATCCCCTGCACGCCTTTACTCTTACAGTCCTTCTTACCCCCACTTACTTCACCACTTTGATCCTGCACCCCCTGTCCTGCTTGCCCCACTGCGTCCTGGAGTACACCTCGACAACCACTCCTCAGTTTCGAGACGAGCCAGCGTAGACACCGAGAGCCTGGAAACACCACAGGGTACTTGGTACCAGCAGATAAGTGGCACTGCTTGTTCCCCATTCACCACTCACCGCTTTGTAACTTTTGCTACCTTTTTATCTTTGACTTTGGGAGCTTCACTCCCCTACTTGCCAGTTGACATGCACCGAAAAGACTGTGCATGAATATTTGCCACATTTAGTGTGCTCTGTTTAGTATATTTTAAGGTAATTGACAATAATTATTGCGATTAGATATACCTGTAAACCGATCCGAGTAGTACTACCAGGGTGAAGGTAACGCTGAAATAATCTATATTGTTTAAATCATTAATATTTACTATTAGCACGGACTTACCATTACCAATCAGTTCACGTCGAGTCCCGTTTGTTATTGTGTTGTACAATTAAGCCTGTTTGTTCGATTCTGTATATCAGTAAACTTTGCACCATTTAGTTAGCCTAAATAAACATTCGATTTTAAGGTGAGTAGTATTTGAGGTTAGTGGCCAACTTCACCTGAGTTAGAGGTGCGTAATGGGCTTCGGCAACGGTTGCTACCGGCCGACCGGGAAGTATGATTAAGGACCGATTTTTAGGTTGTCGGTCCAGAGCCTTTTTCCCGTTTTTTTTTTTGTTTTTTGATAGCATCTAAGGCTAGGCTGATCCCTCCAGTGGCTCTTATCTTTCCATCGGGGTTGAAAACGGGTGGCGCCTTATAAAATACTGTATTTACCCACTACCGTCTCCACCGAGCTACCGGCCAACCCTTGAGGGATCCGCCAATCGTTCTGGCACCCGTTCACAATTGAGCCACACAGTTACAACAGCCCAACGTGTTGTAACAACCTGCTCATAAGGTTAGGATGTCTCAACAGTG